TATGTTTTAGTTTAAACAGGCTAAAACAGGGGTCACCAACGTGGTGCCCGGGGTCACCTGGTAGCCCCCATGGACTACGTAATGTGCCAGCATGCTATGTTCTAAAAATCAAACTAGTCAACAAGAGGGTCACAAATTGTACTGCTACTGTGCTTTATGAATCAGTTGCAGTGATATTCAAAGGGGTGAAACGACGATGGTAAGAAGAGCGGAGTGTCTACTATTGTATGTCCCAGAAGCTATTTTTATTTAATTGTGCAGGAAGTCTGTATTAAACAAGTAGCTCTTCATATTACTAAGTGCCCTTGAAGTAGCTCTTAATTTCAAAAAGGTTGGTGACCCCTGGGCTAAAACACACTCATATATGACTATTCCATCAACATCACCCACTGATTCTCTTTTCTTATGTTACCATAGCAGCCCAGCTTGTCAAACTCCAGATAACTTTTTTACTGCAAAGATGCTAATGTGTCACCTCCCCCCACCCTCACCCTCTTGTCACCTACAAGAAACCGTTCTTTACCGGGAGTCACCGAAGCAGGGGGAGGTGGGGAAACCCAAAATGTGTTTCCAACAGTCTCTGTACTACAAGGGATTTTTTTTTTACTGTGGAAAAAGAAGCATGACACCTCTGTTGACACAAGCAGTCACAGAACCTGGCTCCCCTAAAGTTTGTCTTATGGTGATTTCAGCCTAGTATTGTGATTTTTCCCTTTCAAGAACAGGGAAAAATGTGACATGATGTTTGAAATCTGAAATTCCTGACAGGGAATTTTAACGATAATTGATAATTGTCTCTTTTAAAACTCAAATTAGGCAACAGTCAACCAGTGACTGCAGGACACATTTGGCACAGATTAAACTGAGACACATTTGTCTTGCTAGCGCAGCTGAATCCTCAGATGCTAAAAACTTGATAAAAGATGATAAATATTCATCTCTGCTCAGAGTGCATATTATTCACAAGAGAAGGTTTTTATAGAGATTAATATCAGCCTACAGAGCTCCACTGGTAAAGTGCTACTCTGGAACAAGATGGTTTTTTTTTTAATGTAGGCTATTTTCCATTACCTTTCTTTCACACGTTGGACACCTTACATTTACATTGTGGTGACAGAGTTCTGGCTTCTGTCTGTTGGTTTGATGACAGGACAGTAAGCCGTGGCCATCAGATACAGTAATATGGTTTGGCTCGGCCCAGCGGGGCACCTTTAATTTCTCATTGCAGAGCTGGGTCTGATCAGCGCTGCCCTGAGGAGCTATAAAAATGTTGATTTATTTCCTTCTCCTACAGCTCTGCACACCCAGCCTAGAGAGGAGCTAATGATGAACTACTGCAGCTATTTAAACAGTTTTTTATACACTGGTGTAAATACCAGGATGGAATTAGCACCATACCACTATGATCCCGATGTTGCACCAGCCCGTCCTAATTGCACTTGTCTTAGTCATCCTATCAAAGGAGTTGCATGTACACAAAAATAAAAGCAAAGGTTTAAGCGAGAATTACACTAGTTTTGTAAAACAATTACCACTAAACACATGGAAATTAAGGTTTCATTAGGAGTTCACATTAGAGTCACGGCATTCAAATAACAATAACAATAAAACAGCATAACGCACACTACACGGAACAACACCATTAAGATTATTAAGAGCTGTACAAACACCTGCAGCTACAAAGAGCTATATTCTTTAATTTTCTTAGATTTTTTTGGGAGTTGGACTGAAAACATGAGGACACTGACCACAACACTGCCTGCACCACCTCAAGTGTGCTCGTCTTTAGACTAGGAGAAAACAAGTTCTTAGAGAAAACCTTCAGAAAACTCAGACTAAAACAGGGTCGTGGTTCTGTGTGGACTACAAATCAGTGACGTTTTTCTTTTTCTTTTTCTTTATTTACTGTGAGCCAGGAGTACTCTTTCTTTCTATTTAAAATCAACTAAAAGGAAGGCAGAACTCTACAGAGAAATCCAAAATAAAAATGTCCTGAAGGACATTTTGACCTTCATTGCCTCCAGACTGACCTGTGTCTTTCTGCAAACCAAGCCAGTCCATATGCCTGGAGAGAGGGAGACGGTGAGAAAAATCCCTGAACCCATTTTATTCTTTATGACTCGTCTGCTATTAAAGTGACAAAACACACATAAAACAGTCAACGTTGAGCACGATTGGATCATAAAGTTAAAGATACATTATGGAACAAAGTTGTTTTGTATTAAATCATAAAATGACCAGGACGTGTCCTTTAGGAGGAAAGGAACTTGGTTTTAATGCAGTGGGTCCCAAAAAGGGGGGCAGACCCCAAATAAGGGGCTCACGTGTGTTGAGATAATGTGAGTCAATGTAAGATGGAATGAATGTTCAAGATAGAACTATAATTTATGTATCTGTTATTTAAATAAAGTATGTTTATATTAAGAGTTTGTACATTGAAAAAAATGGATTAGCAGAAGAGATTATTTTAAAACTTTATAGACAAATAACTGCCTGTAGGTGCTTTTATTAATGACTAATTCAAATGATGATATGTCTAAAAATGTCAAATGTGGATTTGTGTGTGAAGTTAGCAGAAGAAACTATTAAGGCTGACATTTATTTTATTTTGTCCTGTGCTATTTAAAGTCTGCAGAGGAAGAGCCATCACTCCTACCTGTCTTAATTATGGCAGAAGCACTAATTTAAATGCCAGTGGATGCCATTTTATACATTTTGCAAATTTCCACTTTAATTATTTAGCAGATTTCTGTCAATCAAGTGTTGGGGTTCAGTCACTTAGTCACAAAGGAAGTCTGAGTCAAAACTGAAGCTTTTTCTTTTTCTTTTGGATGGCTTTTCTTCTGTGACAGACAACAAACTAAATGAGCTAAAAACTCTCACCTTTGTGTTTTATGTGAAGTCTTTGTGAAGAGGGAACATTTCCTCAACAGAGACGAGGGTGACAATCAAATTCCAAGAAGGTCAAAAATGTCTCTGTTCTGGTTCTCTATTGTAAGACAGAAATAAGTGACTGCTATCACTGTGTAGTTATTGAGGCTGCAGAAAGACAGAGCTCTTGATTTGTGTACAGTGCAGGCAGCAGATAAAACAAGAGAGAACCTCTGCTGTCACTTAGAGGGAAAATCTCTTTGGTGTTGACTTAGAGTCTGACATGAAACTGGTGACTGTACTCTGAGTCAACTCTGATTTATCTTCACTGAAAACTGAAACCTACGGATCCTACGGTGACATTTGACTCAGACTTACCTTTTTTGTTGATCGGACTCAAACTTCGAACCCGATCATTTGAATTTCATCTTTAGGTAAAAAAAAAAAAAAAAAAGTAACTGTAATTGCATTGCCAAATGTTTGAAAATACATTTCCAGCCATGGCTTCTCTGTTTATGTTGCAATCTGTTACATTGATTGAAAAGTGGGTTAATGAGGCTTAAAAATCATTTTCAGAAATAAACACACAAAGAAGCACATTGATATGATTCGATGTTGCCTTCCCAGTAAAAGAGAGTCATGAAGCGGGGTCCCATTCTCAGTGGACACACAACGATGGTGACAGTTCTCACCATACTGACAATTTTTACCTCTGCTGCTCAAAAGGTGATGACTTGACAGTGGGACTCGACCCTGCAGCTGCACAGCATGACAACATACTTATCAGTGTGTAGCCTTGGGAGAAAACACAGCAGCGCAATCTCCCCAGCGACAGATCAAACTAAGCCTATTACTATCTGGAAATAAGGCTAAGAGCTAGAAATATGATAAAGTTGAAAAAAAAAAAGGAAGAAAAATTATCTGCTGTGTAATTAACTCATGCTCCGGGCCATCACAATCTGTCATATATAAGTCACACATGTCGCCTGTATTGGTGGGAGTGTGTGTGCATCTATGCAGGAACGATTGCAGTTACAGTAGAAGGATGTAGTAACCCCCATCTCTGAGTGCAGTCGGCCGTGGGCTCTGCCTTTGATTCCGCCGCTCTGATTTCCCTGCGTGGGCGATGTTTCTCAACATACAATTTTTAAAAAGAAGCAGTGCAGGGGAGTGTGTTTAAGTAAACATCTATGTATGTTTGTTATCATTTAGTATTAGTAATGGAATGCTGTTTGATGTTGTTGTGGTTTAATGTGACAAAAAGGCTCAGGGAAGAAGGCAGCACCCAATCACAGTAATGTACTTAATGTAATCAATCATTAAAACCCAGCACAGTACGAGGGAACGTGGTCCAGTGAGCAACAATGGAAAAACAAGGACAAGCACAAACAAAGGAACATGGAACCAGACCTGGAGAACTGGAACTTGGAGGAACCACGACCATGACAGGAACCACAGGACCACCAGTGAGAACAGGAACGACAATTATCCCACAAAGACTGAGTGATCGAGAGAGGTATTTATACCCAGGCACCAGGTGAGAGAGTGAGACTGATTACCAGGGAATCACAGGTGAGCCTGATGGAACTGATTATCTTAGAATAGAGACAGAAGGCGGGAAAGCAGAAAGACATGACATATATTTTTTAAAGGTCTTGTTCTACCGTAGGTGTGTTTAAAAAACAGGTGGTGTTTCAAAATGAGGTGACTCAATGTGGGTCCTGCCGGCAACAATGTTTCCTGGAATCCTAGATCAATTTATCATAGCTGGTTAAGCCAGGAGCCCTAACACTGTCATACTCTACAATGGAAAAGCAATGAATAAATGCAGTATTTTATTATTATTATTATTATTATATTGTGTACTCACTGATGCCAAAGTAGCTGACAATATTAAAAAGTTAAATAAAAAAAGTCAAACAGAGTCAGGAATTCTTATTTCTCTTTATTTTACTTGGAAGATAATTATGTATATATATATATATATGTATATATATATATATGTATGTATATATGTATGTATGTATATATATATATATATATATATATGTATGTATATATGTATGTATGTATATATATATATATATATACATACATACATATATACATACATATATATTTAGCCAAATTATATTTACAAGTAACAGGAAATGGTGCGATACTGTATACGTTGCTAATAAAATCACACTACACACTTATAAATATGAAGTGAACCTCAGTATAAAATAAAACATAAAACAAATGGAGCGTACAGAGTGGCTGTTGAAAAAGTGAAGCTCCAGCTGCTGTGCTTTTTTTCCCCCTGAAGCCTCTTCTCCATCTTTATCTGATTTTCTAATAGAACACAGTTGGTGCCAGTGTGTGAGTGTGTGTGATATACAATCACCTCCAAGACTGACAAGCACCTGAGTCTGTTTCCCCTCGTGTTATATGCACGTGTAATTCAACACTGATGATAAAAACCACGTCAGAGAGGGAACGAAGAATTTACAAAACCAAATAAAAAATGAGAAAAATCAAGACAGGAGCGGCTCAGACTGGGACTACCCCTCTGAAAAATCAATAGAGAAAGTTCTTAGTTGGAAGTGGAGTCAGGGATGACGGAGTGAAGATGTTGCAGAGCAGCTTCCTCTTACTGGAAACCAGCTGCGCAGGTCAAGGATCACACTTGGTCTGGAGCGCTAAGGTGACACTGTAATGACAGCAGCAACCTGAAAAACACCAGCAGCACAGAGAACAGACATCCATCACTTAGACAGCGCTGCTACACGACCAGCGCTGCGGTGTGTCAGCATGAGAAGAATACAGATTTTCCTTTTTCTAAATTATATAAAATGTTCATTAGAAACATGTGCTTCCTGCTCTAAAAGTCTGTAGGAAAGTAATTTATGATTGTTGAGTTTTAATTAAGTCCAGACCAGAGTTCATGGTGCAGGAGATGGAAGTGGTTCATTAATCACCAACTAGCTGAAAAGGCCAAAGCACATCTTTTTAATCTGAATTATAGTTAATTGTCGTCCAGGAGGAAACGTGTTAGTGAATTAAGACCAGCACTGAGAAGGAAATAAAAGGACCATAATAATAGAATGGTGAAAGCAGTTCAATCTGATCCAACATCTTGTATTCGATTTGAAGGCTGTGATGCAGGTGTTTATGGATGTGATAAACAAACAGGCAGATGCAACACTGCAGTCCTCCACAGTGACAACACTGATGATTTAAGCCACAAAAGGACAAGGCATGTCAAAAAAGACAAAGCAATTTTTTAAAATTCCTTTCATTTCTTCTGTGTTCATCAATCACATGTTTTTTTTAGAACAGTTATTTGAGTCTTTCTGAAATGCAGCGAGGTGTTTCATATGTCATCAAGTTGGTTTAGTGATGTCCCATTCCCCAGTGGCTTAATCTTCCCCAGTTTGATTCCAATAGAAGAACCAACCTTCTGGCATTACCTCGTCTCTCCAGCAAACTGTAGCACACATATACAGTCCTTGGAACCAAAGACTGGTAAAAAAGACATATCAAAACAGCAAACCTTTGAGATTTCTCCGAAGGTAGAGTCCTCTCTTCTCCTTCTTGTACACAACAACACTGTTCACAGCATGCTGAGTCAAGTTGAGCATCTGGGTTTAAGTATAATACTAGATGGACTATAATTGTTTCTTTCAATGTTCAATCCTGGAATTCCGATCAATACTGATCCTGAGTAAGTATACTCCTAGTATTGGTCCTCCACTTTGACATTCTCAGCCATGATGGTGACATAAAATCCCTAATTCTCCCCATCATCTCTGTGTTGTCTGAGAACTTCTGCTTCTGATTTTCTCCTTCATAGCATGACTCAGCAAAGTTTTTTGTTCTGACATCATCTATGCTTGATATTCTTGTGGAAAGAATCAGGTGTAAAAGCCAAGAGTGGACTGTGTTACTAACTGTGCATGACCTTCAAAGCTTTGGGGCAAACTTCAACTTAATAGTGATGAACAGCAACGTGGGCACATCTAAATGTAAATGTAATTTTCATGGAAGAAGAAATTCTGCCCCCCATAAAAGAAAAAAAAAAACTTGGTCTGGAGTATAAATATTTGTCATCTGACAGCTAATTTTTCAAATCATTAACTCAGTTACGGAGGAAATGGGCCCCATGATGTGCAGAGTGGTCAAAAGAGTCATTATAGTATTCAGAGAATGAAACTTTACAAAAGATAAAGCATTTTATTCTTTAGAATTTGGATGTTTCTCAAATACTTGTTAAAACCTGACTAAGTGCGGAAGGCAGTACCTCGAGTCCAGATAATAACAAAAAGCTTATATTAATATGAACAAACTGAATTTACCAAACAGTATTAAAACATTTATTCAAACCTTGACCAAATTCTATTCAACTGGCTCCTACACTCATTGGGCCTCCAGCAGGCTGCTCACATCCAAAGATATAGTGTAACACGTCATCCTCTATAGTGTGAAGTGGTCACAGAGGTTTATCTTGGGTATTCAGAGATTTAAAGCTGTAAGTCCGGCCTACAGATCAATACAGATAAATTGGGGGGGAGGGGGTTGGCCCCTCCAAACAATCTCCAAAACACTGAGTCCAGCTGCAGAAAGCTAATGGGTCGTATCAATCACAGCCAAAAGCTGCACCACGGCTGAGCCATTGATTGTCGGGCTGTTGCTGAATGGATGGCACCTCTGTAATATCCCGAAGACCAGCAGCGCCACTACAGGAAGCAGGAGCTAAAAGATTCCTAAAAATGAAACAACACTTTATACCTAAGTGTTCGTGTGTAGTGAAGACTTCGGAATTTCGTAGCATAGAATTCACAGACACATATCTCTACTCTGCTGTTGAACTGAAAACTAAATACAAAATTCATTTTTATTACTCGCTACGCTGAAGATTCAGTAATTTTACTTTATAGTAAAAGTTCTTCCAAATATTGTTTAATTTCTACATTTAATTTGTGCAAACTATTCAATATCAATTTAAAGTCTTGAGTATGTGCTAAAGCACTGTGGCTAGTTGAATGAACAAGAGCTTTAGGAAGGGTGCCCAATATGTGGATCGGGAGTGCTGGGAGAGCAGTGCTGGTAGATTATGAAAAATAAAAAAACAAAACAAACATACAAATCAATAGTGTATTGTAATGACCATGTATTGTAAGAATTAAAACATATTCTGCTATAGGGCTACATACGGTACATATAACTAGTACTGCGCTGTATGAGTAAATATATATTTAATGTTTTTTTATGGAAGTAGATCACTTTAGCCTGGTCATTTGAATATCAGCTCCCAAGTCAAAAACCTGTGGACATTCTTTATCCCCTAAAGTCAAATTTCTGCTGTAGATTGACAGCCCCAGCATTCACAATATACATGAACCTATTTATGGTTGGGATATGAACCAGAAGAGGTATTGTACTAATACTAATCACGGCACTCGCTCTTTGACTTCATGAAAAGTTTCATGGATGGTTTCACACAGGCAAATACCTGAATATGATTCTCTCCAAGCTGTCACAGTCAAAGCAGTTTGCACATGATGTGACACAACATTAAGCCCTGCGCTTCAGGATGACTCTCACTTCAGCTGTTTAAGTAATCAGTCAGCTTTAGGTGATCTGCAGTCTCCTGGAAAGCTGTTAGCAATGCATGATGGGAGCTAAGCAGGCTTGCGTTTCGGAGTTGGTTGGTATTTTGATTTCTTTGGGGATTAAATGTCACAAGGGAGTATTTAAATGCTGCTGCACAACTTTGAGCTAATCATTTCTTCTCAGCTGTGACTTGGCAGTGCTCTCAGATCAACCTTGTCACAGTGTGTTGTCTCCCACTTTGCGGTGACAGAGTCTGAACCCACCCAGTGAGTAAATCCCCCGCAACAAAGTTTGGAGTAAGCTGATGGCACAGAAAAAAGATAAATGTGGGATTTTGATTTTTACACTGTAATGGAAAAACTGCACTGCACTCCCCTCAACTTTCAGCATTTATTTCCAACACACTTTCAGAGCTGTCTATGCTGTAACTCACGGAGCGCAGAAACAAAACACCTTGGATTTTTAATAAACTAAAGAAGTGGAAATTACAAATCTGAGAAAACCCCAAAGAGGTTTGTAGAACTGAATTTTGATTTTAAAACTTGCCATATGCCCAAAGCAGTGGAGGGACAGGAAAATGTTCATTTCACGGTCAGGTCTTCTTTTACTTTTAATTGCACTTTTTTACTGTACGGGCACAGAAGCTGTGTTGGAGGGTTTTTTAATGTTCCAGAGTAAAGTTTTGCAAATTAAAATTTCTGTCCATCTATATTCTATTGCTTAATCCTTTGCAGGGTCAGGGGGAGCTGAAGCCAGTTATAGCTCGGGCGGGCTACATCATGGACCACTCCTCAGTCCAGTCCAAGACTCACACTCACATCCACACCATGGGTAGTTGAGAGTGTGCTCTAACAACATCCGCCACTGTGTCCAATGTGGATACATTATTTGGTCATTGGTTACTGGTTCTCCTTCGTATTTTGCTCATACTTCCAACAGCAGACCGATCTGACCTTCAGAACAGACAACCAGGTAAACACACTTTTTATTAGTGAAGGCATGCTTTTTTAATTTAAGCTGATAAAGCCTGGTATTAACCAGCTGAAAAAACATAATAACCACCCAATCAATCAAACACCACATGATGTAAAAGTGGAAATTAAAATTCTATTTCTTCTTCCTGTGAATCAATTCACTCTCCCTCTCATAGGGTTTACCCTGATATTATATCATCGACTCAACCAATAGTCGGAGTGACATTTTTTTTTAATTTTGGACTCTGTATTTATTATTCTGTTTTTTTTTTTACTTAAACAAGTTGTTACATCACAATGACAAACTGACTACGTATTGCGCTTGAATGCAAAATAAACTTTTAAAAGAGACATTGAAGCCCTCAATGACACATGCATAACTCTGTTGTTTATTTTCCAACTGAAAGATGGTGAAAAAACCATATTAAACAGTCACTTGGCTGTTAATCTCAATGCAGCTGACTATTCTTGAGTTTAAAGCTAATGGGGTTTAGAATTTGCATAAAGCCAGTTTACCCACAAAGCTTTGCCTAAGAGGATTGGTGATCAGACAGAGGGCTTATTGTCACGCTTGTTCGTAGACATGGATTAACGATACCAGGCCCAAAGAATGCCACTAACTGTGGCAACAACTCACGGTTCTCCTTCACCAACTCAGATCTCTGTTTAAGTAGGACACATATTTGGTCTGTTGGCAGGATATAATATGATGTAAATTAAAATATTGGATGTAAACATTTATCCTTTGGTTGACATCAGGCAGCATCAGTCGAGCATAGAATGAGAGTTTGACTTCTTTTTTTTCAACTCAACGCTTGAAAGAATGCCCTCAAATTTACCTTAGCATCATTTGAAAATCCAAATCTCTTTATAAAGTGAGTTTGTTGTCGTATTATACTGAATTCTCACAGTGTTGTCTTATTTGTCAGTGTTTCTCGCATCATTTGAATAAGCCTCTTCCAGTGATAGTCTGTCTGTGCCGTTCCATCGTCATCAAAGCAGCTTTAGGAGCTAAATATAACAGGTTTCCAAAAAGATGTTTGAAATTAAACTTTAGACATGTTTTACACAATACACACATACAGTCGGACCTAACACTGAACTCTCTTTGGTACGTCTGGTTATTTCAAAACCTTATTCCT